AGGTCGAAAAAATCACTCCGTAAATAAATAAACTGTATCAAACTAACTGGAACACAAGTTGCAATTCTCTACGGTAATACTTTTGTTCTTTGAGTTAACCTACTATGTAGATGCAATCGTAAATCGAATCACATGGGGAAGTTACCGGTATAAACGTTGTTTGACCTAATAATTTAGACCAAAATCAATACCAATATTAACATTTCTACAATAATGATTGAATTTAATATTTCTAAACACGCGATGTTATTAACCTACGGCTAATACTACACATCTTACGGCGGTTAGTTGAAATATCAATACACAAAATCATTCTTAATTTTTCCTGTTCCACTTCTTTCAACTATATAATCTACACGTACATTTCTAAAACCAAACATTTCAAAATTACTTATACGGCCTACAACTTGAGCCACTAACCAAATGTTATTACTATGCATTTTAATGTGACTTGTTAAAATATCTTTGTACAAAATAGTTTTTGAATGTAATAATCCAGCCGTACATGACGTATAAACAATGTTCATGTGGGTTTTCATTTTAGGCGTCTTAAGCATGAAAGTATATATTTTCAAGTTATTACATGTATTTCCCGATCAGTTGCTGCCGCCTTCTTTTTGGTTTATTTTTCAGCATCTAAAAACCCGTAGGATTCTTATTATTTTGGTATCCTCCGACGCGCGACAATCCCACTCAATTCGGTATCGAACCAACATCACGTTGATTCTGGTGGAAGAGTAGTGTAGTGTCATTACGCCCTATCCACACAACCCGATAAGCAACCCGAGGTATATTAAACACGACTACATACCAGGACACCAAAGCACCAAGCAGTATTGTAGTAGACGCTTAGTGGCATTGCGCCCCATCCACACAATCCTTAAAGCTGAACACGAGAGAACTGGGAGAATACATAATCAACATTTAATGCTGAGAAAAACCCAACGATGGGGAAGGCGGGAACAAGCAATGGAATGGATTCGAATTGACCAGATGGCATGGATCAGCCTCGCAGGCGTGGTCACTATCGAGTGTAGTAACATAATATTCTGTCCATATTAAATATATTGTTCTATATCCAGCCTAAATGTGTCCTTCATCATATATTGATAATTGTTACCACGCGATGAGTTGGTGTAGACAATGATGTGACTTCCACGTAAAACATTATAGATTAGGCAGTTGTATCACTACAAATCCGCAATTTTAGGATCAGGTCTATTATTAGAGCACTACTAATATTATAGTAGAACACAATTTTACAGATGCACATAACTTGGAAATCGGATCCTACAGTAGCTGGTTAACCACACCTGAAAAACTTTGCATTCTTATCGAGACGTTTGCTGGACACCGAATTAAGGTATAGAACTATCGGTAGAGAACTCCTAGTCATATATTGTGCTGTACGGCACTTTCAACGCTCTGTCAAAGACCTACAATTTACTGTTCTCACTGACCAGAAACCTCTCGACTTCTCTCCTAAGCTCGTCTTCAAACAAGTAACCCTCTAGAAAGTCTCGAAAACTGGACTACATTTTGTAGTTCATTTCAGGTATGCTACACATTTCCGAGGCAAACCATGCAGTTATAGACACTTTGTCGCGTGTAACTCCTTTGAACAGTTTCCAAAAAATTAATTTTCTTAAACTCATCCAACTCCAAGAAGAGTATACTGATTTTCAGCACAAGTTATCATAGACAACTCTGAAACTGCGTATTAAACAGAAGAGGACAAAAAAGAATACTTTACTATGCAACACATATACAGGCAAAGGTCGTCCATTCTTGTGGAAAAATTATTGAAACGATGTCTTCCATACGTAGTATGAAAAGTCTCACACAGGCGTTGTAACAACTGTAAGCTGATAACAGAAAAATTTTGATGGTCTAATATAAATAAAGATTTGAATTTGTTGGTACGCTGCCTGAAATCCAAGTTGATTAGACGCAAGAATGTACCTTAGGCTCCTTCAAAACTCTCGATGCTCGTTTTGACCATGTCCATCCAGATTTGGTAGGACCTTTACTAGATTCAAACCAATAGTCTTACGCCCTAACACGTGTCGGCCATTTCACACGATGGCCAGGAACAATGCTGATTAACGACGTTACTACTGAAACAGTGACTCGCGCTTCATCGAGCAGTGGGTGGCAAAATTCAGCTATTATTCAACTATCAACACTGAACATTGACGGCACAATTGCAATGCCTTCGGCGATAATCAATAATCGTGAACATACTCCGCTAGCACCAAAAAACTAGCTCAATACAGCACACTGTGGAACAAGGGTAATATTTCCAGAAAACCTAAACGTCTAATATGTGTAGAACAACACATAAATTTTGTTTTGTCTTATTTCTTTGTATCGCTGCGTTAGAAAAGCACTATTCACCTTTAATATTTTCATGTTTCTGTGTATATTTTATTTCTTGAAAACTTCAAAAAAATCATTGTGAAATATTTTGGTGCTATCGCATTTAGTGTACGTGAATGTAGTCAGGGTACTTTTCTTTTTTCGCACATTTTACGTCTTTACGCACATATGAGTGTATTTAAAAACGCGATTACTCTTCCTTTTCAATGCTTTCTCGGGATGATTGAAAAGGATGAAAAACCGACGAACAATACTATGGATTGAAATTTTGTGTTATTCGTACGAACTAGTTATCGATTTGTTATTGAAGATGAACTAATTACTCATGCAATCCAACAAACCCATGGCAATTGAAATACGGAATGACCGCCTCTTGTCAGACTTTTCAAGGTTGTTGAAACGAAACGGCGGGCAGCTTCGAAGGAGTCTGACATTTTTCACGTGCCTAGTACGTTTATGGTTATCTAGTTTTACCTGTTTCAAATCACACTATTTCTGGAGATCTTGGTTACCACACTAACTTGAATACTTCTAACTATTATTAATTCTCACTGTACATTTTTCACTGTTACGTAACAGTGTACATTGTACCACATAACACGTTTTATATGCTCATACACTCGTTTATTTTTAACAAGCACTAATTTTAAGCATTAGGAGAGACATCGTCTGACATAGCGATCCCCTGGTCCAAACCAACGATGGACTCAAATAGACCAAATCGCCATCAGTCACTGTTGGAGAGGCTCGATCGAAGACTGCCTCTTGTTCTAGAGTACTTGTTTAGACTCGAACACAGTAAAATCCCATTAAGAAGACCCCTTAAAGTTGATCTGAACGATGCGGTCACGTTTTAACGATTAGGTTGACTAATATTTTGGTTAAAATCTTTTAGTTGGACATAATCCCGCCTAACTGGTCGCAATCACTGATCGTCCCAATACATAAAATGGTTCAAAATCATCCTGTGACAACCACATATTCACCATTCGCCGATGCTTAGGACACGAGCGTGTTTATTGGCGCCCGACAGTGATAGCTTTTCTTGACATAAAGACACCATTTGACTCTGTAGTCTAAGAGGTTCTGTGGCAGTGCCTGTCACTGAAAGGCATATCTCAGAAGTACGTTAACCTTGTGAAAGCTCTTTTCTCAAACACTTCAAGCCGAATCATAGCTTATGGCAAACTGTCATCTATTCTTGCAACCTCAAGTGGTGTCCGACAAGGCTGTCCACTATCTCCATTTTCGTTCAACTTCATCATAGACCTATAGCTGGAAATAACGTTCTCGTCGACTGAATTTTCGAGCATTGATCTCCTACCAGAACGTTCACTGATTGACTTAAAATACGCAGATAACATGGTCCTGTTTGGTGAAGACACTGGTAAAATGCAGAGTATTTTGATAGCACTGAGCAACAATGCAATGATGTTTAGAATGCATTTCTACGACGTTATGGGTATGCAACTACTGCACAGCTTAGACCATATGCTTCTCTACGTACAGATAGCTTTCTAAATATATCTTCGAACCCCCCATCTCTGACTTCTGATTTGACTGGGTTGGTATGAAGATGTTACTAGTAAAGGCGTCGTCAAACTTCGAATACACTTGTCATTAATATTCTATGTAAACAAAAGATAAGCGTATGAATCACCTCAAGAGGACTTTCATATTTTAATACGAGTTTACATTTTTCCAAAATCGTGTTGCACATCATGTTTTCGCTATCATATCCTACAATTGGCCCCCAAATGCCGTGGTACGGCCGAGAGTGGGGAGAGTCCTCTCTCCCTCTCGAAATGCTCTCACAGCCACGCGTATATAGCCTCTGCCAGGGAAGTCCTACTCACTGCCTTCTCGTGGCGGGGGTGTTGTTTACGAAAATGAGAGGACGAAAAGCGAATGTCCGGCGCTTTAACCGGATTTCAAACCAATGGTGCACATGGGCTCCAGTATCCTGCGGGAACAAAAGGCGTTTGAACCAATTGTTGGTCACCGGCTTCCATGGGATGGCATCTCCTTACGATGCTCCACTGCCTTGTGGATCAGACCCTCAGGTCGAAGGCTCGGGGTGTGGCCCCCTAAGAAAGCCACCTGTTTCGGTTTGGGCACCCGGGCAGTATCACAGCTCTCACACATATTGAATGAGATTTGTGTGGCGCATATGTATTTGGTGCCTCCTTGTACCAATATCTGTGTTGAAATAAATAAAATAATCGTCTGAGTGCGTGTGACCTGGAATATTTCGTCCATCCATTCCCGTAAATTCTTGATAGGCAAATCACTATAGACTGATACAAATTCAATTTTACCAAGTAGATATATTGTACCTTATCCTTGCACACATTCTTCGACTATGTCAACTTTCTGATCTCTTAGGATTACCAGGGAGTAGAAATGGTTTCAATAGTTCTTGCCGTACCTGTTCTTCATTATGTCCATATATGGTGCTGCTCTATTGATTGCTTTTATCAGTCCAGTTTTGTATTTCCAATTTAAATCTTCATGTTCTCCTCTTGCAGATAAATGAAAGTTCATTAATCCTGACATAACCGTCCGTGAATATCTGAAATACTTATACCGTATTTGGACTGTATAATCGTATTTTGAAGAACATGGTTGATAACGGTACGTGAAAGTATTTTTAATTTGGTATTATGTTGACATGATTAAATAATTTAACCTTGCAAAGTATTTAAGATATTAATTTAACCAATTCAGTATCTGGGTTCTAGCCCGAGGATTGTTTCCGATGAATATTTTGTCGTAGTCATCGACGACTTTAGTTATACGAACCGTCCCCCACAAAATGTTTTATACTTTAAGGTAGCAAGCAATCTTATCATGATGTCTAAGGTTCGTGTATTTGTTTTCGTATTCGCAAGCGAACAAACTTAAAAATGTTGCTTGTAAAGTTATACACATTTCTCTAACCCTTACGATTTGTTATATATGCTGGTCTTTATGTTTATAAATTGAAACTGCATACTCTTTGAGGACTCACGGGTTCAGTAATCAACTACTAAGACACTTCCATTCAGAGCTCCTGTTGTGAATGGAGAGCTATACCAATCATATCAATATCTAAAATAATTTCTATTAAGTTTAAACACTGGTCCTAATATATTGTCTCAAACGTAAATTATATCTCTTATTTTAGCAACGTTAAGCGATACTTATCGAAGCCATGACTCGTCTGGTTCCTCGAGACTTCTTATTCCTGATTCAGGCATCGGATTGGTCGATTTCCAAATTAATAGTTATTATTGACATTTAGTGTTTTGTTTCCTATCTACAAAGGCATATATTTTCAATCCACTGGTTGTCTGTTATTTTAACTTATACGGTTCAAAATCTGTAAAGAAAAAGATACGTTTTACCTTTGTCGCTTTACAATCCCATACTTCAAAGAGTAAGATGACGATCGCTGTCGCTTTTAGATGCGTTTCATACAATGGTTGTTGGACTTGATAGTGCTTCACTCCCTTTATTGATAAGAGTGTTTACCATCGGGTTGTATTGTAAGTTGCTTAACATGAGCTTGTTCTTAGCTAATCCTAGATGTATACTTCCGAAATTTACTAGGGATATCGGCAAGAGTGGATTCTGTTAACTTTTCGAACGCAATAAAACTCCTAAAATCAGTGTCAGTATTTTCATCTCGCCTATTCCCCCCAACTTTCTAGTTTCAAGAGTTAAAAGGCTTTTAGTTTTGATAAACCCAAACCTTTATTTGTGGAATAGCTTAGCGTGACTACCAAGATTTCACTTTCTTACCTAGATGTAATTCAGTAAATATGCCAGGTGCAACCTTCAGGAGCTCAGATTTCCCCTCCACGAAGTATCGTTTTGGGAATGTTTTAATCTTTACATCAACTAATGGTAAATACATTGTTTTTTAACCTTTGTGGTCACTTTTACGCATTGTTTTCTACATATTTGTTTTGATTGTCTCCAGAATTAAAAAACCTCCGTTTAAATGGGAACCAAAAACGTAGCAATTATATATCATGGGATGAATATTTCATGTCTATAGCACTATTGTCCGCTATGCGCAGTAAAGACCCTTCGACTCAAGTAAGTGTTTTTTTAGATACTATGTAATTCTCTGTTGCTTTGCATGTAAACATTCTCATATTGCCAATAGATATGTAAAGTTTCAATTTTCAAGGATACTAATAGAAACCGAATAATTGTTGGTTATGGGCAATCACAAACAATACTTTCCTCAGCCCAAGTTGCTGTATTCCACCTTAGCAAAGCCTTAAAAAACCAATCAGATGAAAATCAGAATATTCGAAGTATAATCAGTTGTGACGGACAACCAAGCGTAGTTCCGAAAGAACAAATGAAATCGGATATTGAAATCCATAAATAAGACTGTTCAGGATCTCTTGAAAGATATGGAATAGATGTGCCAGTTCTTTCTGGATGGTTGTTAACTACGGACCACAGTTATTGTGTGGTAGCTTGGTATGAGTAATATGTTCCGACCTACTTAGTTGACGACGGTTTACAACCTCTCCAGTTGATTCATTATCTCAAATTAGTACCCCCCAACATAATTTTAACATTACTCACTAAGCAGTCTTACCATGTATGAATAATAAGTGCCTACAATCGAATAATAATGACAGTCTATATCAACTGAAGTAAAGAATAAAAGACCATTTATTGAAAACATAACCTTCGCTTAATGTGCTAATAAAGCGTTTGTTTGAACGTTGCCATAAATCCACCTCGACTTTGTTGCCGTTTCCTCACAATTAACTGGTTTACTTGGAAAGATTGTAAATCCCCTTAGGTATGAGTTTCATGTGTTGTTATAAAAAACCGACTGATAACCCAATGGGTATTTGTACCACTGACTTATTAGACAGACAGATAGATCCCGAGAGTCCCTCAAAATCTTGTTTGTTATCCACATTCCCAGAGGATTAATTTTCATAAAATAATACTATCCTGGAAATATGTTTTCACTGTGTTGCTTCATTCTTTGATTGCTCCCTCTTTTAGTATGTTTACTAATCTTGTAGGTCAACATCACTAGAATCCGAACGTAAAATAAACCTATGTTCGTGAATTTGGATGTAGCAACGTAAAAACTGATTGTTTTCGACAAAGTCAGTTATTATCGTCAGCTTTCGTACACAATCGACACGATTTTAAATTTATTGCACTCAAATATTTTTATGTTTACTAAGTTGAATTATTTATTGTTTTTCTAATTTGTAATCTCCTTATTCCTTGTTGTTTTTTTCAAACTTAGGTTGGCGCTTGCATAGTTAACCAAGAAAAGAAAATTGTTGGAATAGGATATAATGGAATGCCCAACGGTATTTTAGATGATGATGTCCCTTGGGGAAAAGAATCAACAAATGAACTTGAAAATAAGTATCTTTATGGTATGCTGTCTAGTGTCTGTTAACGTTTTTTTATTAGAGACTTGTAGTTTGTCATGCAGAGTTGAACGCCGTACTGAATCGTAATGAAGCTCATTCTGGAGGTTGCACACTATTCACAACAATGTTCCCATGTAATGAATGTGCTAAAGTTATTATACAGGCTGGAATTAAAGAAGTAGTGTATTATTCGGATAAGAAGAATGGAACAGAATCTAATCAAGCAGCTAAATATTTATTTAATAAAGCTGGTGTCAGCATAAGGTATGATTTTATGTTTCTCATTCTTTGTGTGTGTTTCCACAGAAAATTCACTCCAACGAATCGAACTATCAATATTAATCTTAATTAACTGAGGATCCTAATACAAAAAAAGGGATAACTTACAATCGACTAATGTATCCACTGAATTTGCACTGGACTGTTAGTTTTTGTATTCATATTATAGTTTAATCTAATAAATACCGATCAATTGAGTATTTATATGAAGTTTTCTTAGAATTATGCTCAATATGAGGATTGTTGGATGCTAGGTTACTAGAATGATGCTACCAGGTAATTGAAACAAAATAAATACGGCTTCCCATGGTAATTTCGTCCTTGACATTGAGCAAAACTATACGATTCCACAAAATAAACGTTTCAACCAGGTAAAACTGGATCTAGTTTTATTTACGTTCATTTGTAGAGTGACGACAGATTTGGTATTTTTCGTTATTTTGTCTAAAACATGAGAATCAAGTCTATTAAATAGGTAGATCGTGTTTGTTATTGTTTGTAAAACGAAGTCGTTGATGAATAAATTTCAGAATTTTATCTGGGATTCGTACCGCTTTCCTAACTAAGATGCGCAGTTGCACAGCAGATATTAAATAAAACAAACCAAAAAGCTCAGAAATTAATTACCTTACTGCTGTTTAGGTCACCTATTAAAAATAATCCATGTTCTTGAATGAAATTGGCAGTTGCGATTTTTAGATTTATGAGAATACAGCATCTTTAATGTGGTGCTCCTTAGATCATCAGTGAACAGCATGGCTCGAGAAAGTAAGCACATTTTGCAATCCAATTCACCCATAAATTTTTCAGCGTGTTTGACCTCAAGAATCCAGTAGTTAATATCATTTAACAAACTTAGCCAGATTTGACTGTAACGCCCAGATCTAACAATACCAACCGATAGGTAGTCAGGGTAGGATTTAAGTCTATAGCACATTGCAAATCAAACACTTGAATGATAGGCATGTTTAACATCTCAACAACGCACACAGTTCACCACAAGACTAAATTGAGAGTCTTCAAGCTTATTTTAATCTTAACTTATTAGATATTTTAAATTCCTTTTTTCGTAATATTGTGACTGCTTTGATATACTAGCTAAATATTTGTCCATTTTTCGAAGCATTTCTAATAGTCAACACTCCTTACAAGGATATTACAAGAGCGAAAAAACCAAACACTGCATTGGAAATTAGTAGTAAATTATACAGATGTTTGGTTAACCCTAACGAAAGATACTTCTGAGTTATTATCTAATTAAAGTGTTCAATAATAGACGGCAGTTAGATTCAAGAAGTATTATATTGATCTTAAAGTAGGAATCAATTAAATATACAAATCAGAAAAAATAGTAAGATCAACTATGACCGTTTACAAAGCTTCATGAGATTGAGAACGGTTCCGTATTAGAAAATTGTTGAGATTGTTTATCCGATTAGTCACTTCTGGTATGGACAACAATTGAATAAGTTCGACCACAGGAGGCCCCACCTGAATATTCAAAGGTAATAATTTATATTATGAAGTACTGGCAATTATTAGAAATTTTATACGTTGGGATGATCCAAGGCTAACATCGTTATTGACGCACTAAACTCAACTGCGTGTCGTTCGTTGACATATTAATTTCTTATTGCTAGTGTCAAACATCTCGCAATGATAATAAATTGATAGTGCTAACAATCGGTGGGTCGTGTGATATTATGAAACCTCTCTTAGGACAAAACAATAAGCTGATATATGCTACACAATTCACAGTAGGTCGTAAAAAGTTATTTTAAATACCAGTTTGAAACTACTTGACCGTTTGATCATCTAATCCATCATTTTAATTACCGTTTCTAGCTGCTGGCTACCACTATATTTCAATCAAATTTTAGATTACTGACTCATCGGTAAATAAGTAGGCGAAAATTCCTAATAGTGTATACATACAGTTACACAAAAGATAGTAACTATACTTTAAGGCGATGAATATTATGTTCGTATCCCAAAAACAGTGCATGTAATTTTGAATGATAAGTATTATGGGTGAAAAACGAATGCACTCTCAATATTTCATTGCTCGCAAGAGTAGAAGAATCATTTAAGCACTTACCTCGAATCCTATAAGGCCTAATCTGATTAGGTGCAATACAGTCTTACGTCCAACTCCTGAACGTTCGCAGACACTCTGAAGGGAAGTTGTTATCACATCGGAGTTTAAATCTGCGCTATCATTCACTTGTTCTTTCTCAAGAATATGATTCATTTCTTCAACGAAGCATCCAAACAATCTGAGTATGTCTTGTAAAGGTATTTTGATAGAAATTTTATTGATAACACCTTCACAAGTAGCTAAATCTGGAGACTTCCACATAAATAAGAAACCATTATCGGGGTCGACTAAGTCATCTAAACAGTGAACACGACATTTCAAGAGATGCAATCGTTTCAACACATGCAAATCATTTTGAGCAGATTGACTACAAATATAAATATTAAAGCAAAAATAGTAGTCTGTACAGTAGCAAGGAACAATACTTATTCACGCGTGAAATTGCTTAAAAAATTATATTTAAAATGTGCGAAAATTAGTAGGTGAGTATACCATACTTTACACCGCGCTTTCAAGTCTATAATGGTTTCTAAGTATTCTCAAGTCTAGTATTCGTCTGTTTAAAGCCATTGAGAATAGTACAATTAAGCGTTATCGCTACCAGATGATGAATGTACACAACTGACTCTAGTTTCATTGATATCACCCTACATCCATGTGGTATTTCTATGATTCAAACGCCTTTCACAATCCATTGAATTTCTGCTTTCTATTTGTGACTAATGTACACGTTTATCTTAGAAGCCACTAACAATATATTAAGTAGGTGTCATTACCAAGGTTTGATTTGATAATTTCGAATAAATTGAGCATTGGGTTATTTATAACAATATATTAAGCTTGATTTTTCATTTTATTCATCTTGTCTTAGATGACTTCCACTCATTAATTGAATTTCAAATCTGTAGGCGTAATTTCTATTGGTTAGCATATTTCCAAATATATTTTAGAACTGTAAACAGTAAAAAATAAATCTTGTTGAAGACTAGTAAATACTGTAAGTTGTATGAGAAATAGTAACTTTTAATTATATGCATCCCTTACGTGCGTAGATGAGATAGCTAATATAAGGTGGTCGTGGTTGCTATCTGGACATAAGGCAGAAATGTTTTGATAATGGCTAGTGATGGAGTCTAGGTTTGTGCTTTACATTTCTGATAACTATACGGTATGTTTACTACCCTATTGAGACTAGGATCCAGCAGTCGCCTCGCTTTACAATTAACCGCCCTAATAGACTACAATAATAGTATGGTGGAACTGCTAAACATAAGAAAGTTATTGAAACTTAGTAAAGTTTAGTGATAACTATAAGGCTTCTGAATTTCACTAGAATGACAATGTTATAGTAGGTCCAAGAACGCTCGATTAAGAATATAAACAATACAAAAATATACTGGATAATAGGGCTCTGTCAGAACATATGAATTTGGACAGTACCCCAAGTTTTAAGTGAAAGCACAAAGTGACAACATTTCTCCTATTTTTGCCTATCGAAAATATAGCCAAAATGACATGGTTAATAAAACGAAAGTTTAATGAAATCACTTGAGCTAAAATACAATTACGACATTACAATACTGCGCGTCTTACCTTTTACCAATAGATAGGTTTTCTACATTTGACTGCAGATATTCTTTAATTGTTTCTAGTATTTGTGGAGTTTTATAAGTGGTCTGATTACTTTGCTTTTGATGCATTATACAATAATCCAATGCATTGTTTACAGCTTTATCAAAATGAAATTGGCCGCATATTTTTAATAAATCTGTTGATAAATGAGCGTTATGACGACTGATATTACTTAAGTTGAACTATATGGAATAATTAAATGGTACATTTCAAGCTAGTTCATAGAAAACCAGAAATATGTATTAAAATTTATTGCATTCGATGAAATTAAGTTTAAAATGTTTTATTGATGAACTTCAGAATACATTTGCATGGGATGTTGCCATATTGTAGTGACTTTGGTGTTTTCGCTGACAAACTAACTGAGCAGTGCTACTCGCATCAAAAATAGCAGTACTTTTGTTACAATAATTTTATCAGGTGATTGCAGATGATCCAAGAAAATTTGCTGGTTTTCCTCGACTTCCTTATAAAATATGGAAGATATGGGTACTTTTCTGGTTTTATTTGGCAATGTAACTCACCAAGTATAAACATATGTGCTCAGCTTTGAGCCATACCAGTTCTATCTAATTCAGCTGGATTTAATTTCAGAGTGTTTCGTCCATCATTTTACTCGTCTTCTCTTGAAATATATAATTACGCGCTGTCTGTCGATAGGATACTTAAAAAATTATCTTCTCTAGAACACTGCCTTAATAGTTCAAGACATTCAGTAGTCTATACTGGAAAAAATCTTTCACTTTCTATAACTGCTGCACAAACGCTTAGTAAATCTCCCTTCTAATTATGCTCACCACTTATGGTGATCGAAAAAGCTAGTGTGATCCACAAACCAAGGGTAATATTTTGTGACAAATTATCGATCGTGTTTACAGCAATTTAAAAGACAAAGTAAATGCATGTCCAGATAAGGTTTAAAAAATATCCGATTGACGATCCCCTAGCTTTCAAACAGTCTAAAAGTATCCTGCATACTTATCAAGATAGATGTTTTAGTCCCCTGACAAAACACCAAAGTGTGTTCGGAGAGGTGATTTTGTGTGCGTGAATAAGTAGGACTGATATATTTAAACTTTCGAATTCCGGTTTTTAACGTTGTTCGATGGAAACGACAAGGGTAAAAAGAGGATCATAGGAGTTTAGAAAGTCAAAATCAAGCATATAGAAGCAGGAAAAAACCCATATATGAAATTGTAACTTACTCGTGAAACTAATTCTGAGAATTCAAATTCAGGCCTCCACTTATTCGAAAAGTCGCCATTTTCGTTAGAATCATCATGACAGACACCACCTCCGGTGGATGTCAACCAATTCAATACGGCAGACGGCATATAACCAGCCTTACGCAAACTGTGAACACTACCGATAAGAGAGAATTCTGGACTACGTTTAGACAGTTTACCACCTGAACTAAATTGATATGACAGAAAAGAGAAATGTTTATTCGCTGTATAATTATTCAAATTAACTCGACAAACAAGTATGTACTAATTTTTTGACCGTTTTGTGAGCTACACTTAAGAAGTTATTTACCGGTTTGTATTTTACGACCGGTGCAATAGCTTAAAGGTGGAACTCATCTGCGCGAACCGTAATAGATGAAACTATTCAGAACAAATGATTACAGTTATGTTTAAAACAACTAAAATCCCTAAACCATATTCTGACGAATACATACATAGTGATTGCCTACTCTAAGTCTTAAGAAACTAAAAAATGTTTACCACTAACCTGGAAAGTAACAGAGGGAGATGTGCAAACTGTGGAGGTGACCAACTTAAAGCTTTGTATAGCATCAAATGCTTAGGCGTGGAAGTAAACCATTCCTATATTTGAGGGTAAAAATATATGCAAAATTAAAGATATTTTGGGTGGAGATGTAAATGACATTAAATTAGCATACCATAAATTTTGACATATGAAATGAGTGTTTACACCACATAGATTTAAGTAAGAGAGGATTACTGAATTCACTTGAGCGTTTGATGGCTCTTTCATGATCGGACAACAAAACTGTGGAAACAGATGAACCAGGAAGATGGATAGTTGATAATAGTAAGTGATGGTAAACTCTGTCGAAGGCTTCAGGAAGCGCAGAACTTGAAAAATTATAAGTCAGATTTTATATGAGAGGAAGATGTGAGGACAAAGAGATGAGCTGATATAGCTTCAGATCACCACATGGTCGTTGCCAAGATGAAAATGAAGCTAGAGAAGCAGTGGACAACTGGACAAACAGCATTACAAAGGTTTAATACAACCTTCCTTCGAGATACTGGCAAACTCAACTAATTCAAGATAGCTCTCAACAACAAGTTTGAAGATTTACAAGATCTGCTGGAAGAAGAAAATATTATCGAGAACATTTGGAAAGAGATGAAAGAAGCACTAATTTCAACGTATTAGGAAATGCTAGACCTCAAGAGGAATCATCATCACAACGAATGGATCTCTATCGAAACCCTGGACAAGATTCAAAAAAGGAAAAACAAAAAGACAGCAATTAACAACAAACGAACAAGAACGGAGGAAGTCAAGACACAAGCTGAATACACTGAAGCAAACAAGCAAGTGAAGAGGAACATGAGAGCTGAAAGACATAAGTACGCGGAAGACATATTAATGACAGTGGAAAAATCTGTAACAGAAGGAAATATAAAGCAACTATATGACACAACGAAGAAACTGGTAGGGAGATACAGTAAACCAGTCAGAGACAAAGAAGGCAAGTCAATCATTGAAATTCAAGAACAGAGAAACATGAGTAGAACACTGAGGAACTCTTAAACAGGTTAACTCCATTGAATCCACTGGACATCGAAGCGGTACACACAGACATTCCTATAAATGTCACTCCACCAACAATAGAAGGAATCAGACTGATCATCAGTCAAATCAAGTATGCGAAATCAGCGGAACCTGGCAATATACAAACCGAAGCACTGAAGTTAGGCAGAGAGGTAACTGCAAACATACTCTACATTCTATTCGGGAGAACAAGTGCCACTGACTGACTGGAAGAAAGAATACCTCATCAAGATACCAAAGAAAGGAGATCTGAACAAATGTGAGAACTACAGAGGCATCACACTACCATCGGTACCAGGAAGAGTTTTCAATAGTGTTTTTGAACTGGATGGAGGATTCAGTAGACGCCCAACTCCGAGATCAACAGACCGGATTCCGTAAGGATCGGTCGTGCACAGACCGAATTGCCACACTACATATCATTGTTGAGCAATAGTTTGGATGGGATTCGTTACTTTTCACCAACTTCTTTGACTATGAGGAAGCTTTTGACAGCGTTCTTCGGAGAACATTGTGGAAGCTCCTTCGACAATATGGTGTACCTGAGAAGATCGTCAACATCATATGGGATTCATAAGACGGATTACGGAGGATAGCTAACAGATACATTCCAAGGACCGGAGTCAGACAGGTCTGCCCACTTTCACCCTTTCTCTCTCTTCTAGTGGTTGACTAGATTATGAAGACCTCCACATCTGAATGGAAACACGGAGTACAATCGACAACTTGGATGCAACTAGACGATTTTGAATTCTCAGGTGATCTAGCTCTTCCCTCCCATACACACGATCAAATGCAACTCAAAACAACCAGTGTAGTAGGAGCCTCTGCATCATTCGGCCTCAACACACACAAAGGAAAAGGCAAGGTCCTCAAATACAACACAGAGAACACCAACCCAATCACACTTGATGGAGAAGTCCTGAAAGAGTTGGAAACGTCCACGTACCTGAACAGCATCATAAATGAATTAGGAGGATCCGATGCAGACGTAAGTGGAAGGATTGGAAAAACAAGGATAGCATTCGCACAATTGAAGAACATGTGGAACTCGAATCAACTGTCAATCAACATCAAAGTCAGAATCTTCAATTCAAACGTCGAGACAGTTCTACGGTACGGAGCTGAAACGTGGAAAACTACTGCAACCATCATCAAAAATCTACAGGTATTTCTAAACAATTGCCTACATAACATATTCAATATCCGTTGAATACTGAAGCAGATTTCTCAACACGGATCGATGTCAACTGTATAAACGTTTTAAAAAATTGAGACCACTGAACAGATGTTTCGTCATAACGTAGAACTCCCTAACAGCGGGCGTCCACGGATCTGCTAGGGATCAACTCCAAAATATTTTGGTCAAGTGAATACCGTATTACTTTCATACTACTCCCTTTATAAACCACTAGGGAGCACGGAAGTGCTAATTAGCCATATTTTGCTTTATCTTAATGATGTCCATATGTGTATACTAATGACCACTTTTGAAAAAGCTTTAGAATACTAGGCGATCACTTGTAGTGAGCCAATTCAACTATTTTATTATTTGTCTACTCGCTGTAATTTAAACATGTAAAATTGATTGAGCGCATGTCTGCACATCAATCTTTATCTATTCTCCCATTGGGTGTAACACACAAACAATCAGTAACTTATGCACAATCGATTAACACTCATAAACATATATGGATTTTTAATACTCACTGGTTTCCCTGTGTTGCTTGCTTTCTGCACGCTTGCGTATTTTTACTAGTCATTAACAATAAACTACCTCTACAACTGGCGTTCAGGCTTTTTAATAATTCTGAGTAAAGTCACAATACTACTAGGAGATTTAGCCTGCGTAAATACTCAGTAAACGGGATACTACTTATTGGAGTTAGATATAGAGAAAATTAGCCTTTGCACACTATTATATTATTGAATTCAATGTTTAGTGAAAATAACCTTTGATTGCTGAAGCCACTCATTAATTGAAATAAAATTAGGGAAATGGAAAAACATAATAAACTTACAAATCCTCTAATAACATGACTGATTTCCATATAATGATCATCAATTACGTTGGCCAAATGGTAAACAGGCATACCATCGGATTTCACAATGATCTGTTTGAAGCAATAAAATAAATCAAAGAAAACACAGTCGGTACAAAATATCTTATTGATTATCTTTGTAAGACCGTACGTCGTTCTACTATATGCTTGTATGAGAAAAATATATTGCCAAGCTGATAAAGTACATACTTACTACAAAATGTCAGTCAGTCAGCTACAACGTAGGACCAGGCACATATATGCATCGGTCCAGGTTGCCATACCTCATTAGCACAACAAGATGAACACCGGATTCATGGGAGTGGTTAGGTTAAAGGTGGTAATATATAGGAGAAAGATTGCATATAAGGATACAGTACCGGAATAAAGAATTAGTTCGTAGAAAGAAAGATATGAAGTGATTTTAATCTCTCCCTTAAGGGAAGACAGAGAGTGTATGCACCGACGCCATTGTGATCGATTCTGAGCCATGTCACCAAGAGTCTCCAACCATCGGTTACGAAAGTCACGCGGACCCCAACCAAGTAGTCTGCATCTACCAACATGGCTCAGACTAGAGGTTAGTGTCTTCAAGCACTGATGCCAAGTTTTGGTTCGTAGAAAGAAAGATATGAAGTGATTTTAATCTCTTAGTTTAAGGGAAGACAGGGAGTGTATGCACCGACTACAAAATGTTCACATTACACAATGTAAACACGCTTTTTGGTCAAATTGAAATTAATTTGTAAATGTATTCAATGAAACTTATTACCAAAATGTACTAAGTGTGGAGTTCAATGGCCAGCCATAACATTGTTTCAATGATCAAAGGATTAATCAAATACTTGATATTTTTTGTAACAGTTTCAATCTTTAAGTCTGTAGGAGACTGGAAAATTAGTGTAACAGATAAGTAATAAGAACAGAATAATTAATTCGAAATATTCAGCTAACATAATTCACTTCACAAAAAAAACGATGCTTCAAAACCTTTAAAAATCGTACCCTCAATCTTAAAAGATGACCAACTAATCAAATACTCAATCAAGCCATTTTTCTTCACTTACAGTTGTAAAATGGTACAGAACAGTGTTATGCAGAAGAAAATGTCGCTAATACTAGTGATAGCGTAAGATGGAAAAAATCCATATACCTTTTAGTATCTGTGACGAGACTTTGTTAACCAATAGTCTATCGAGGTTGGTGAGATTTCCATAATATATTAGGTAATCAACGAGTTCGCTTACTCCATTCACTGTAGTCAAATTAGACACTAGCGTAAGTCTAAAGGCATTTTCATCCACGTACTGTATAGAAAAACAATTAGTCTTGTCAGTACTGATAGTAAAAGAAATAATGTTAATAAAATGGTACTTACAAAATCTCCTTCAGAATTGAGTGAATTGAAGACAGAACTTCCATAAACGATGTCATTTACTTCTATTGGTGAATTATCAATCTAAGTAAATCATATAAAAGATAAAATACTTTCGATAATTAAAAAATTCTCGGTGGAAAATAAATATAGGTATCAACAGGCAGGTGAAAAATACACCGTAGAATTTGTTGACTGCCAATCCAATGTGATTAAAATAACCTACCAGATAAAAGAGGTGATTGACTCATTCACATAAAATTAACGCCTTATCCTTATACGATATCAAAAATCGTGTCAACTCTTGGTAGAAAATAATGTTCATTATCAACAAGAAAACCGTTATCCTCTATTGGCTTTCTTAACCCCATTTTCTACGTATAATATCCAAAAATATGTAACAAAAATGGAATACTTGTATCTGAAGTTACATTCATATATGAAATAAAAAAGCCAATTACTACTACTTGTTAACTATGTCACTGGTGAGAATTTCAATTTGCATATACAAATTCAAAATTTTAAAAATAACCGTTTCTCTAATAATAAATGTCAATAGTCCTGATAGGAGTGGCTTACAGACAACATAACGTTGAAACCAGTTTTACCGCAAAGAGAATAAATTACCTAGTTTCTGTCGACGATGCGATCGAACAAGTAACTTAACGGTTCATTGAAGAAAGTATTAATTATCCTAAGGGTTATTCAGATATCATGAATGTACCGAAGAAATTATACGCTAATCCAGAAGTCAAAGGTGATATTGCGGAGTAAACTTTAAGTAATTACCTGATCAAAGTCGCTAGGACGCTCGATGCAGAGTCATTACCAGTATCCTATACTAGTCGCTCACTGATACACAACTGCGTAAGGGGATAAGTAACCTTAACTGACTGATGTGCATTTACTCATCCACCTGCACTTGAAGAGCTATGTACACAGGTCATTCATTGAAGAACAATCCCAAAGTGACTCAGTGAAGGACAACGCTGAAATATAAAATCCTCTATTCCAAAACATGTAGTCGTGCATAACCATTTAGCGTTGTGCTTATACAATACTATGCATAACATAGAACCAAGGTGACTGAAAGCTGTGCACACATATCTCACTTGCATAAAAAGAAGCGTTAAGTGTAGGCAAAGTAAGGTTAGGCCTGCATATAAAAACACATTTTAACAGTGTTTTTCTTACTTTATCCTTCATTTCCTTCATATTTAATTGTTACCTTCTCATCTTTTTTTAGTTTGACCTTTTCTACCTTCAATTTTTGCATAAACCTATCTCCCCTAATTCATTAAATGTCAACATCTTCCACTAAAATTCACTAATTTCATTCAATTATTCCATGAATAGTATTATTTTAATTTCTTCAAATGTTTGTTTAACAGTTTTTAAAAAAGCGCTATTTTCTTCTAATTTATAGTGATATTTTTTTTAATTTTTAGCTTCTGATATTTACAAATTAGTTTGATCGTTCATGTAATTTACTTTATCTTTTACTATAAACTGCACTTAACTCCTTTTACCATTTCTTTAATTTTGTTTACAACGAATTTGATATTCTTAAATCTGTGGGCTGATTAAGAATGAAGAAGTAGGTACTAAAAATCTTATTCATTTATTTGCTGTTCTTTATGCATTTAAGAATCAACAAATCCATATATATATATATATATATATATATATATATATATATATATATATATATATATATATATATATATATATATATATATATATATATATATATATATATATATATATATATAACGCATTAAAAACCTCAAAATGTACTATGGAATAGATAATGATCAAATGTAGACGGGTAGAAAAGTAAAATAATGATATTCTTATAATACCCCAATTAGTAGGAAACAGAATTTCTAAAGTTTCGTCACTTCTTCATCCCTATATCAAACCTTTTGTTATAGTTCCATCATTATCTCCATGTACCATCAGTGTTAATGTTTGAATTTAAGAAGTGTTATTCCTGGTTTCCTGAAATTGTACTCTAAACCACGTGTTTGGTGCCTTCAACGTCATGTTGAACAACAGGGTTTATTAGCTATGATTATGGGATATCGTCCTAGTGACATATGCCGCGTTCTCTATCATTTTGAATCCAAGATACGCGGAGAGTACATCGTGTAATCTGTCTATATTGACTACGTGAGGTCAAGTGAATGACTACCACTGGATTATACATGCGAATTTCGGAAAATAAGACACATTTCTACTATTTTATTTTGAACTTTTGCCTGTGACATAAGTCTATTGATTAAAACTAAACAACTCCTTCTTGTCCCCCTTTTCTTTGATGATCTATTAACTTATGGCGCTTTCTTTCGGTATATGAGACATCACAAACGTGAAATTCAGTTTTTAATTTTAATACCGACCAATTCAAACATAACTTTTACATATGTCTTTTAATACGCTGTGCGATATAACACGATATTAAAATGGTAGTGATCGTATAAACTGTAAAACCTTGGATATCTAAGAGTTCGTCCACTAGTATTGTACATTCTTACACATCAATTTTTAAAAAAAACTTGTCCCCTTGAATTATGATTCGTTGATCTGACGTTACTCAAAACTCTTATTATTTTAAATGGGAAGTAAAATGATTTTCAGACGTAAACTGATGGTTGACAACTAATGAAATTACGATTCTTCAATGGTGTGTAACTGTTCACACTTATTAGGAATTTTTAATCAATCATACGTTTTTTAGCATTTACGATTATAATACCAGGAAACTTAATTAAACGAATAAACACTGAAAACTGTGGAGGACTGAAAAAGCTGTTTTACTGTTTCGTGGAACCATGATTGAAAATAACGTAGAATTCGGGACTTTCGGGTCCGGAGATGAAAACGATCAGTTCAGGCTAGTAGTTTGAATATCCCGAAAGTCCTTTGGTGTAAAAACTTCTTGTGACCGCAGTTTAATATGTTGTTTTCCGAAAATACAACACTCAATGGTTTTTCAAACTTGAAAACGACCGTAAATTATTATGAGAACAATAACAAACCTTGAACCGAATAACATATGGCCGAGAAGCTGATAAGTTTTCGTCGATTTCCCTTTGAGATAAATTACGGCAACGATTATCATAACGGTGAGGTTCCCTACGACGACTTTGTTCCTTGCGTAAGATAGCTAGTCGTTCTGAAGAGCAGAAGCATCGATAAGCAAATCCTTCATCAATTAACTTTTGAGCAATAGATGAATACAGGGGTCTTCTTTCCGACTAAAAGACCAACAGAAAACAGAAAATGATGTGGAAATAATATTTTTCATGTCAATACAACAAGCTTTTGATGCTAAAGATATGCTTACATTGGAAATAGTTATCAAATAAACGTAAACATAAATAAATATTGCAGGTGATTGTTAAATTTAATCCATAACAAAGTTAATACGATACCACACTTGTGTGAATGATTATAAAGAGCTGAAAATAAGGTATTATAAGCCGAATTGTAGAATTACTATCCAGTCAGTCAGCTACAACGTAGGACGATGACTATCTAATGAAGGTATATGAAGAGTTATAACAAATGATTTTTATGATTAAATAAAGAAATTTATAAACCTAACCTTTACAATTTATAATTATTCCCGTAAATAGATAGTGTTAACGGGGTGTATATTGAATTAAAGCATGTTCCGTGAAGGACTACATTCAAGCATTCTGATTGTCCCTTTCTAGGTCAACAGATACAAGAGAATAATTGGAGAAGACTCTAGAATCTTCTCGCATAAAATTATAAACATATTAACGTGTTTTTTACTGTGACTCATAGTCCCCTTTTCTCTGTTTATTTAGAGCATAATTGCCTTCCTGTCCAACCGTGTTCTGATTTTGCGACTAGTCGAGTGACGTAGTGTCCGAATACTAAGTAATAAGAGTAGCTGGGTCGTAATAAGAGATCATAACATAAAGATATATACAATTGATACACTTCATTTTCACTAAACCTTATCAATCTAATAAGTTATTAAATATGTACACCCGGTATGTAAACGGATACCTTCAATCATTCACTGAAAAGACTCCGCAAGTAGCTATTCAATCTAAATTCAGGTATAATGATTATAAGAACTATGAGCACATAGTAAACAATAACTATCACAGTAAAGTGTGTTTCTCGACGAATAAAGAGAAACTACATCGATTTACAGATGATTAATGAATAAATACAACTGAGCGATTGTGACCGATTTGGCACCATGTCAATGATCACGGGTATTGTGTGGACCACAGTCAGTAAGTTAGCATCGACCGACATAATTTATACCAACAGTCAACGACTGCATGAACTTATATTACATTGTGGTCTACCAGCTCTTAATCCAGAAAGGAGAAAACTATAGCCACTGGAACAAATAAAATATTTTTGCTACACATACTAAGACTAAGTAACCATGTTCATATTCCAATATTCCATATACATGATGCTATTGTAAAGAATATTAGACTGCTTCATTGGCAAGTTCGAGCAGTGAATGCCACTTTTACTAGGGGTCGGAAAATCAATTAATCTGAGCCGTAATGTAAGCAATAACAGAAGTATATGACATTATAAGATAAAGATACTTTGTCAGTAATAACAATTAAAATTACCTACCCTCTAAGTGACTACATAAAAATCAATAAAGTAAAAAAACAAGTGAAAAAGCTAATATTCAGATAAGCAATTTGTTTCTGTGGCTATTGATACATGCTTCAGGAGTCTTGAAAACTGACCAATGGCATAATTAGTGCACAAAATATTATCGAAATTGTTTCAGCACGATTGAGAAAGTAAAGCATGATCCGATTGATTCAAGTGGGTAAGTACTATCATTACCTGACGTGTAAAGTGGTCGAAATACACATATGTACCATACTTGTTGAGCAACAACACAAGAATGAACTTCAGACTAATTAAACTTGTCCAAACAGTGACCATTTATGATGAGGACATTTGACAAAATTCTAAAGAACATACTTGAATGTACGAACCATAATTTCCACCAGTGGTTGGACTTTCGTCAGGAGTTAGTCCAGACCAGTGAAGCGACTCGATAATATCGTCCTTAGCATATGGTTGAACTCTGGACTACTGAATAAGCATGTAGGAATAATTACTTTACCTTATCCGTATCTTCAATACGTAGTATGAATTTCCCCGAATGTTTCACAGCAAACAACTTGTTGAATAAGGCAGTACGTAAACCGCCTAAATGCATAAAACCTGTAGGACTTGGAGCGAAACGTACACGAATGGGACTGTTCTCCGTCAATTTACACTTTTGACGAAAAATGATACATTTTTGACGTAGGAAGTAATTGCTACGCGGTAATCGCATTCGTGACGATGGTAAAGCCAAAACTCCTAGCATACATAAAAATGAAAGTAGGACGTTATTAAGTATGTAGTAGCTCGATCGTAGATTTTTAAATACATATATCACCTTTGACTAGCATTCGTTAAGACATATAACTGCAATATCAACGACGGAGCACTGCCGCTTTTTATCCTAGAAGGATAAGAAACTTATACGGGAATAAATATGATGAATAATACAAGTCCAACGGTTTATGTCTTAGTGGTTCGAGCACTCCACTTCTGGTCACTAGAGTAGAGATCTAAAGCGTCCTTCATGTACATTTTATCTAAATAGCATGGTAGCATCAATCCAAAGGAACAGAATGACGAACGTAACAGTTTATATTACAGGATTACTGCTAATCCAAAATGGGTTTACCTGTACTTGGTTGCTTCTGTCACGGTCAGTCGGACATAAGAAACGCAGAGCTTGGCACATATGTACAACGGTTCAGGTACTTAAAACCCATAGGCACAACGATATGAAACTATCAAGATGAATATAAAAAGTGGTAGTAGCAGCATAAATGATTGCAAAACATTTGGGGACTATAACTTGTGGATGACCTTTGAGTAATGCTAGTAGCCTTAAGGGTGTCCGCCTGCCTACTAGGAGTAAGTGAGGGTTACAAATTAGTGTGAAGAATTAGGATTTGCAGCTGGACGTTAACCTTAGGAATTAGAGTTGTCACTAAGAACCGATATCAGCTATGATGCTAAAACGCTATATAGTCAAGTGGATGAATGAATTTCGTGCCGAAATTCAGAACCTATTAACTGAAATTTGATTGGTTTGTCCGTAAATTATAGTTTCTCCATCTAATGCAGGAGAAAGGTAGTGATACAGCATCCGTTATGTATGAATATTGATTAAATGTTTGTAAGATATGTTTAGGACACTTTTAACAATAAAAAGAAATAATTTTTTGTCAAGAAATGACGTGCTATGCATGTTTTCTTTGACAAAACTTTTGGAAGTATTGTGTCTAATTTTCTAACACCCAAATAAACTAAAGATCTCATAATGAAAACCATTTAATGGTTATAATCGCAGCGCTCTGAGGTCGAAACAGGGATTGATCACTACGGAAAAGTTTTTTGACAAACAGATACAAGATGATTGACATTCTGGTTTTATACTGTTCTGTCTAATCACGATGAATTAAGATTGTATCCTTCAGTACTGATACGTAGAGAAAATAACCGGTATTCAACCGACTGAAGTAACTTGTAAACGAATAGACTTATATGGTCGACAGAAGATGAAGTAATCTTGATAAACTTGTTAACAGACATCATCCAAGTGCACATTTTAAAAGCCTACATTAGGAAAACTCATGTGACAGGTGAGTACATATGTCTTAATAATTGAGAACTAAAAACGTGGATATTATTTGAACTTGAAAACATCCCCAGTTTAATTTCTAGTTTAAGAGATGTCCATAGGGCAACAAGAGTGAGAGTATAATTTATGGACGGCGTTTCAGTTGAGCTAGACTGACCTTGAGAGTGTCCACCTAATATATATGACCAAATGAGTGTTCTAAACATGTGTGAGGAATTAGAATTGTTTTACAGTTGATAATTAACGTCAGGAATTAGAGTTCGGGCCTTCATCACGAACTGACATCAGCTATAATGCCAAAACTATTTAACCAGAGTGGATGAGTGAATTTTGCGCCAATATCCGAAGCCTATTATCTTATACCTTATTGGTTCGTCCATAAATTATAGTCTCGCAAAAGGTGTTATGTAGCCAGGTAGTATTACTCATGAGTTTCAGTACCCACTTGAGACAGATTTCGAGACTTTTTGACCTAAAATGATAAGCAACTAGAAAACTTCGATTGTTTTCCACGACTTTTAACCAGATGAGAGAAAAACGTCTACTAACTGACTAGTTTACTAGCCTTGATGTTATCAGGCTAATTGTGGATAAGTGAACACATTGATAGTATGTAGGCGCACATGCATTGAGAGAGATTTTATATATGTTTTTCAAAAAACAATGCATGGTTATGGAACTGTTTACTATGAAGAAGTTATACAATTACAACTGATAGAGAATTTCTACATGAACAAAGTATTAACCCAATCTCCATATTTTGGGGAAACAGCTGAGATTTCTTGGTAAATTCTTGGGTTTCCTCAAGAGCCGTAAGAAATTTACTAGTCTCTCCCAATGTCTGGGGAAATTTGGGGAAATGAATCCAAAGTGTTATAAGATTCTGTAGAAAATGGGGAAAACCCTAAATTCCCCCGAAAATTCAGGGATTTTTCAGACATGGGGAAATTTTTGGTTTTCTTGTGCCAAGTCTCCAAATTTTCTATGGTGGTTTCCTAAAATTTATTTCAAAGCGGATAAAATCTTCCCCAAAATAAGATCAAGAATGTACACAAACTATTGTTTCTGTTCAAGAAATGGCATCCACTATAATTCATGGAATGATATCACGGCAAGACCTGGTTGGCTTGTCTACATACTTTACCTCTGCAGACAATCCTAGTGTCCATGTAAGAAGCACAATTCAGCTTCGAAATGTAAATAGCCGTCAAGGTCACTGTCGTATCAACTGATTCATCAAAATATTCAAGTCTTCAGAAAATAACAAAAAGTATAGAAAGTGAACCAGTATGAAGACAGTTAATAAGAACTTATTTTTTAATTATTTTTTGTTATAATTTGAATTTTTATGATTTTGCATAATTTGTACATTTACCGTTATTGGCGTAGAATTGCTGTTTAAATTTTTTGACTTCGACCTTCTGTGTCTGATTCGCTCTCTCATGGTGTGACTCATCAATTTTCGCTCGTAGACACACGGCTGTGCACATGCTTCTCGTTCTCGAAACATCACGTGGAACCATTTGAATGCTCGGCGAAGTGACCATAACTCACGATGACCTTTGACAACAGCTGTTCAAATGGTTCAAATGGTTGTGGACGGAATAGAAGAAGCTTTCGCTTAACAGGCTTCCGTGTCTAGTAGCAGGGGATCACCAAATCCTCCAGGTAGGAACCTAGGTATGTTAACAATAAAAGAGGAAAAGAAATTGATAAGTCATAGTATGATACTGTCTTTGGTCCTTAAGAATAGGTCAAGTTGCCTCTTGAAGGACTCCTGAGAAGTCGCTTGGACTAGCTCGCTCGGCAGCAAATTCCAGCTTTTGACAACTCTTAAGGAGTAGAAGTTGTGTCTACATTCCGTCTTGCTATATTGAGTTTCCAGTTTCTGGGTGTTACCCCTTAGGTTATTATTCGAACTAAGCTTGAGTAGGTGTTTAAGAGGATGTCCAGAAGTGTTAAGAATACTATAAGCCATTAATAAATCACCTCTAAGACGCCTATACTCTAATGGGTAAAGGTCTAGTGAATGGAGGCGTTCTTCGTAAGGCTTCGATTTGAGTCCGAGAACTGATTTCGTGGCTCGCCGTTGGATACTCTCCAAAGTGACCTTGTCCTTGTGGAGTGAGGGGGGAGTACTATATTTCCGTGCTCTAAATGGGGACGGATAAAACTATTGAAGATTGTATGGAAAATTCTTCCGTCAAACTGGCCGAAAATGCGCTTCAATGTTACTAGTGCAAGGTTTGCTCGGAAGGCATTTTTGTCACAATTAGCGTAAGACTTTAAATCATGGGGCACCAGGACTCCTAAATCTTTTTCGACTTGGGATACTACTAGAGAGGAATTTCTTAAATTGTAACTGTAGTTAGCGACATGTCGCAGATGGACTACTTTACACTTTGAAGTGTTAAAGGTAAGTCCGTTATCATCTGCCCAACTTTGAAGTCGAGTCAGATCCTCCTGAAGTGCCTGTGTATCGTCTTGGTTGCGTATCTCTCTCCAAAGTTCCACGTCGTCGGCAAAAAGTAATAAGTCTGACGTTACCTGTTGAGGAAGATCATTTATGTAGATCAAGAAGAGGAGAGGCCCTAATACTGAGCCCTGGGGGACTCCAATAGGATATTCCACCGCCTGAGATAAGGTGAAATTAACCCTAACCTTAAAGTGTCGATTTTCTAAGTATGAAGTAAGCCAATCGATTAGAGGTGGTTTGATACCTAGTCGTTTGAGCTTATTGATAAGACACAAGTGGTTAACTTTATCAAAAGCTTTTGAGAAATCAAGGTATATGATATCAACCTTTCCCTTGTGATCGAGGATGCTTGTCCATCTGTCCACCGCAGTCAGCAGGTTGGTTATACAAGAGTAACCCTTCCTGAAACCATGTTGTTGGGGTGAGAAAAAATTTAAGGACAGTAGATAATCGATTAAATCCTCGCGTATCAGGGACTCCATGAATTTTGAAGGTAATGACAGAAGAGCCACCGGCCGATAACTTGAAGTTTCATTGCGTCGACCCCTTTTGAAAATTGGTGTGATGTGAGCCAACTTCCAATTTTCCGGTAGTTTGCCTCGGCTTAGTGAGTGCGAAAACATCACGCTAAGCGGCGTTGCCAGGATTGAGGCTTCCTCCCTCAGTATGGCCGAATGAACCATATCCGGGGCAGGAGAAGTATCTAGTCTTAAGTGCTGCAGTTTCCGGAACACCAAGTCAGCGCTTAGGTCCACTTCGGAAAGTCCTGTGGAATTACAGATGAAACTGTCGTCAATAAAGTTGATGTCAGCCGGCTGAAATGTTTAAGAGTAATGTGCCGCCAGAAGGTTAGCGGCGTCACCATCGTTGTTGGTCGAGCCGTTAAGACCTAGCAGTTGAGAAACTCCTGTTTTGGCTTGACGAAGAGAGGCTGCATAACGGAATAGGCTTCTAGGTTTCGAGGCAGATTTGTCCATAAGCTTTGTCTGATGATGAAGCCTGTCTTCTCTTATAGCCTTCGTGCATATGTTCCTGATATGTTTGAATTGCCTATACGCTCCGTCGTTGTCAGTTCGTTTGTATTCCACCCAACAGTGCCTTTTACGGCTTAGCAGGCAAAGGGTACGGTTCTTGATTATTGTAGGTGGCTTACAGCTTTTGAGAACCGTTTGGGGAACTGAATGGTTTGTAGCACATAAGAGCGTGTGCAGTAAGAAGTCCTAATGACCGTCCACATCGAGTTGAGGGTGAACATCCCAAACCACCTGTTGTAGATAGTCATGTAGAGCTGGCACATTAAGCCGTTTAAAATTCCAATGCAAATTATTGTTGGGATACCTTAGCTTAGTTTTGGTGACAAAACTGAAGACTATGACGGCATGATCGCTCTTTCCCAGAGGAGCCAGGATTGAGAGGTTGTCAACTAGGAATTCTTCGTTTGTGAATACACAGTCTAACCGCGATGGTGTCTGACTGTTTCTCCAACGAGTTGCCGACCTCACATTTTCATGTAAGCCCAAGTCATCAATGAGGTTGAAGAACCGAGCTTCAATTGAGTTGTCGCCTCCAGTGTACGTGTGCTCCACGAAGTTGACTCTAGGAAGATTAAAGTCCCCTAGAATCAGGATATGTGTGAAACCGAGACGGGTAGAGCGGGATAGTCCATCCAGCATACGACTCTCGTACTCGATGTCGGCAGTTGGCTTCCTGTAAATGACACCGACTAGACACCTCGAAGTGCTAAACAATCTTACAGAGCACCATATGGATTCCTGCTGATTGTTAAACTTGAAGTTGTGAACTTGGTGCTCCTCCAAGCAAGAGCTTATGTATATGGCTACTCCGCCCCCAATTCCTGTTGTTCTGTCGTTGCGGAACAAAGTCATCCCAGGTAATGCTAACTCTTGGTCCGAGAACTGAGAAGATATCCAGGTTTCTGATATTCCTATCAGGTGGGCCTTATTAGCGTTGCTAATTTCACGTAATTCATCCAGTTTGTTTGGTAGACTCGAGGCGTTCATATATAAGCAGTTTATGCTTTCAATTTGGAACGCGTGAGCTTCGTCCTGTTTTTCTGTATGAGCCTTATGTGAATGGACAGGTAGCCCACCTATGTGAGGTTTACCGAGGTGGTAGGCCCAGTCCTTTACACGTTTTTTTTATCATTTGGACAGTCCACAAGTGGAATGGTCAGCTCCAACTTGCCTTTGTGCTTGGTCCTGGCATCATATGGTCTGTCCGGGTGCATGTGGATTCCAGGTGGCAATTGACGTCTGTTGGCACGAAATGCATCCAGAACTGCAGCCGCCATGTGGGAAGATGGGAAGGTTATCTTCATTAGATGGGGTCTAAGATCACCGTCCTATTTGGCTAATCTCGTCACATGCTGAGTCAGTATGTGTTTGAGCCTCAAGGACTGTTTGATGAATTTCCATTCCCTGATGTCAGAATTTGATTGAGTAGGGTCTGCATTTTCCGGTATACCTTGCACAATTATGTTTCTTCCGTGGAAAAACTTCTCGCGAGATTCTTTAGGGATGTTTCGTATGATATTGAGCTCAGAGAACGGTATATCGGGCAATATTCTTACGTTACCATCTGATTTCAGCAAGTGACTTGCTAGTAAGACGTCCTTTACTCCGGTAGCATTCTTAAGTGTTACTCGGAGAAGCCTTGGGTGATTTAGATGCTTAGAGTCCTTTCCTCGAGTGAGCCGGGTGAACATCAAAGGCTCTATTCTAGGAAGTTCGAGCTTTTTGTTCAATTCATCCCAGAGCATCCTGTCATTTTTGTCCTGCAGACTGAGAGGAAGGTCAGGATTGTCAACGAGGTTCATGATAATGAGAGAATCGTCACGAACTGTTGTTAATTTACCAGGTTTCACGGTGGGTTCATGTTTAATAACTTGCTGTTTGGAGGTCAGTGTGCGTTTTTGAGACTTGAGTTTTTTATTGACCGGACGAACAATCTTGGAAGTAGACTGTGCAACCAAATCACCAGTTAATTTCCGTACAGCAACACTTGGGTTGCTCGGCTTAGGCGGTGATGCCTGGTTCTTTTGGGCTCTCTTAACGTGGGTCGAATCACCTACAGGGTTTTTGGGAACCACTGTTGTGTTCAGGGACCCTGAGCTGGGAGATGTTCATGTTGCATTCCTTCCAGAAAAAGAAAAATGCAACATACCTGTACATATTTGTAAGTACAGACGACCAATACAATCAGATTTCAGGAAAATATCCAACAAAAATATGCAGGACACTAACTAGTTTGAGAATCAACTAAAAGTAGAGCACCGCAAAAAGAACTTAAAGAAAATTCTAAACTTTAGCTAAAACAATCCAAATTTAAGTAGGCGTGGTAATCAAAAGCATTCGAATTATTGTATGAACTAAGAATCCCAGAAATACCGTAGTAGGATCAAGAAGTACTAAATAACCACAAACGAATGTACTGTATTTAGAATTCGAAATCCAGCATTCAACAAGTAAAAAGGAATCACCAGTTCATCCAAACACCACATCCGCTACAGCTTTAATTGGAGTTTAGGTGTCTATAATCAATTTTACGTCTTCTTAAGTTCATCCCTTGTCTGTCCAACATTGTATTTGTTGTGACTTTAAGTTGTAGTTGCTTTTTACCCTGTGCTAATCGTTGTGTCCTTGACTGAAAAAAAACTAGAGAATAGCGTATTTATCGACCGATTCAATGACATGTGAACACGTACGAACGTAATGGACGACTTAGAG